ACTCATGACCTTGCGCTTGCCAGGTAGGCACTGTGCCGCTGAGCTAACTCCCCAGCTCCTCATCTATTTTTATAGATCTCTTCTTTAGAAGTACTGAGCAATTCTTTCATTAATTTTTTACCTGAGAGATTATTTCTGCTCAGATTTCTTCTATGGCCTGGTGGAGTTGTTTCTTTATTTCAGTTGTGATTATTTCAGAGATTTCAGGTGTGAGACTTCAGAGTTCTCATGTTGATGTTGCCTGGACTTGTTCTGGTTGGTTGCAATTCTGATATGGCATTTTGCTCCTGTTTCTTGTCAGTTTGGATGTCAGAGGCAAAGCACCAAGCCTTATCCTTCCTGGGCAGCTCACTGAAGGTCTGTAGGGTCCCTAGATTTCTTTGGTGTCAGGCTTGCCCCATGATGGCAACAGGAGGTGGGCCACCAGATCTGGGATCCACAGGCAGCTGATGGAGTGCACAGCTCAGAGAACGCTGATGGTGGTGGTATGCTGGCCTTCAGAACCAGGGTACCCATGCAGCTGACTGTGGGCCTCTGGGCCTCTCCCATGAACCACAATGTTGGCAGAATTCAAGGTGACAGACTGGAGACCTCAGGCAGCTGATAGGGCATACCTGTCCCTTCAGGGCCTCAGGCAGGACCCACAATACTGGGGAACACAGGCTACCTCTCTGAGTTCCCCAGGTGGATGACTAAGGACACCCAGGCTTCAGGTACGACCCACAATGTCAGAGGAGCATGAGGTGTGAGATGGAGTCCTCGGGCAGCTGATGGGGTGTACTTGTCTCTTCAAGGCCTTAGGCATGACCCACAATGTTGATGGAGCAGAGCGTTGGTCCAAGTTCCCAAGGTGGCTGACTCTTCTCTGATTTAGTAGATACAAACAGTTTCCTAAACTCTTTGTACTAATTTTCATACCTAGAAAGAGTGTATGTGACTCTTGGTATATTCCTAAAACTAAATATTTTCTATCATTTTCATTTTAACCTCTGGCTGTTATATGATATTAAGCATTAGTGGATTAGTTTCCTTTTCTTGTTATTTCTTTTTACTGTGAAACTGATCATAAATCTTTGGGTAGCCTCATTCTTAAGTATCTTGTTTATTTTGGCCATATTTTTCTGTTGTAGAGTCTGTATGTTCATTAAAGATTTGTAGTCATTTGTAGATGCCTGAAATGAGTGCTTTGTGTCCCATCACTTTGTTCTGATGAGGAGAAGCTCCTCAGTTAATATAAACTCATTTGCCATTTCATATCTTGAGGTTAATGAATGTGTACTATTTAAATACTCTTTTCTTACACTAAGACCACAAAATTTGCCCTTAACATTTAGATCAGCAATCTGTTCAAAATCAACTTGCTGTGTGGTGTGGATTGTGATAATTTGAATTTATTCTTAAAATGCTATGTACTGTGTTCTGTGCACTTAGCATCTCTCACATCTGTGGATTTCAGTAAACATTGTCCAGAAATATTTTCTAAAAAATGTGGGAACAGAATATGTGTAGATGTTTTTGTCAACATTTCCTAAGGACACACTATCAGTGCTATTTACATAGCATTTGCATTGTCTTTATTATTTTAGGTAATTTTGAGTTGATTTTAAGTGTGGGGAGGATGTGCATAGGTTATATAAAAATACTGTGACATCTGTATGTGAGAGCTGTCAGTCCACTGAGATTGATATCCTTCCGATAAGGTAAAACTCTCTTATGATTTCCTTTCATTGACTTGCTTCTGTCATTGCTTCACCAAAGTTAACAGCAGCTCGACTTTGGCGTGGAGCCCTCTTCAGCTTCTCTCCACCGTTCCCTAATTTTGTCTCCAGTAATCCCAAAGCACCGCACACCAACTGGAAATTTCACTACCCCAAATCACCAACAGGCTGATGATCACTACATCCTCATAGCAGAATGGCATCTAAGGACTTGGCAATAGGAATGACTTTTCTGACTCAGACAGTCACTGGGATCCTAGCTAACGTTGTTCTTCTGTTCCATTATCTCTCTCTCTGCTTCACTGGATACAAGTTAAGGCCCACAGATCTGATAGCTGAGCACTTGACTATAGCAAACACATTGATCATGCTGTCTAAAGGAGTCTTACAGACAGTGCAAGCATTTAGGATTAAGTATTTCTCTCAAGTTATTAGATGCACAATTCTTTTGTATGTCTACAGAGCAGCCAGAGGTGTGTCAGTCAGTACAACCTGTCTCCTGAGTGTCTTCCAGACCGTGAAGATCAGCCCCATGAACTCCATTTGGAAGCAGCTTAAAGTTAAACTTCCCAAGCACATTGGCTTCTCTATTTTCTTCATTTGGAGTCTCTATATGTTGGTAAATTGTTTTTTTCCATTTTATAACATCAGCAAATATAGCAGCAAAAATATCACAAAGATAAAAGATTTTGGATACTGCTCTGCAGGACTTCGAGACAAAATCGTCGATGCATTGTACGCAACATTTGTGTTATTCCCTGAAGTTTCATGTTCTGGGATCATGATCTGGTCCAGTGGCTCCATGATTTTCATTTTGCACAGGCACAAGCAGCAGGTCCAACACATCCGTAGAACAAATGTTTCCCACAAATCATCCCCTGAGTTCAGGGCCACCCAAAGTGTCCTTGTCCTCGTGTGCACCTTTGTGTGTTTTTACACACTCTCCTCCTTCTTTTATGCTTGCGTTGTGAACTTCAGTATTCCTAGTTGGTGGCTCATGAACACCTCTGCCCTAGTTTCTGTCTGCTTTCCCACTGTCAGCCCTTTCATCCTAATGAGCTGCAACTCCACTGCATCCAGACTCTGGTTCAAAATCTCAAATTTCTTTAGAAACATAAAATGCACCACTTTTCACAAGGTTAAGTGATGTAGACAAATTATCCCTTAGAAAAGTCAGATAGAGTAACTGAAGCAGGCTTTAGCTGCAGCCAGTAGTGGAGTATTTGTCTAGGGTGAATGTGTCAGGTTTTGTTTTCAGAATAACAATTAATGGATAAAATAAATATTATTTCAAAAATTTAAAAAAGAAGAAATTTAAGGAGATAATCAACAGCTAAGGTGGGCACTGGTGATTTTAGGGATTTCTCAAGCTGTGTCAATGTGGAACTTTCAAATCAATGTGTCAGATTTGGATGATCCATCTGCACAGCATCCTACTGAAAATTGCCCTAAAATGTTTCAGTAAGGAAATAAAACAGGCTTGGTAACTAGCACTGGGTCATATCAACAAATGTCTGATGGGAGTGATGCATTCAGAAAAACTCAATGCAAAATTATGCAGTACACAAATGATTAGTGAATATTCCTAGGAACCCCCTCTGTGATTGTCAGGTATCTGCTTGTCTTATGGATAGTGATACCCAGACTTAGAATTCTGGAGCAACATCTTTTCATCAATATTTGTGTACAGTGAGTGTTGGAAGATAAAGACAGCTCAAATTACTTACCCAGAGACCAGATTTCTTTATTGTAAAGGAAGACAAAGCTCTTTCAGTCCATGGCCGTTTGGAACAGGTTTAGCAGAAATTTTCCTAAAAGACTGGAGGTTCATATTCTTGGATTCATTATAGGTGACACAAATTGGCTGCATGAGAAGCATCCACTTGGGTTCCTTCATACCCTCCTTTGGGACCTGGGATACAGGAGATGGATGTGATCTGATCCACACAACCTACTGTGTCAGGAGTGAGAAGTCCTTTGTTTTTGATCCAGGAGTTACCAGTGCTCTGCCAGCATTGCTAAAATTCACCACAGGTGAACTTGTACAATATGTAACTATAAAAATATAGTAGAAAGTATAGATGATAGATGAATAGATAGATACATAGATAAATACATGGATACATAGATAGATATCTAGATATATAGATACATAGATAGATATTCTCTTAAGAAGTCAGAAGCAGAGGGACATAGAAAGAAAAGAAGCAGCAAGATACATCATATACAGGTACAAATTCTCTATAATGAATACAGTCATTATATATATCTAAAATGTACCAATTAAATAAAACATACAAAAACAAGTCAGATGCTAAGGCAATACTAACCTGCTCTCCAAATAAAGTCAGACAAAGTGCTCAGAGGAAGATATACCTTTGAAGAAAATTTACCTGTAACACAATGGAAGGAATTGTAAATTCCTGAGAAGGGAGGATACAAGGAGGTGAAGGACTGTACAGGGGAAATAAGAAAGCCAGGATCCCACACCAATTGCACGGCCCAAGGAGTCTCTCTATTTTACATGTAAACTATTTTTAAGAAAGTTCCTGTGTCCCACTGAAGCTTTTTGTGAAAATGAATTCTTTGAAGACACAACACACTGTGACTTGGTTTTATGTCTGTGCTGATGTCATGCAGAGCTGGCTTATATGAATACAGAGTCATGTGCAGGCTCTGTATAGCTGTGGGTGTGTTCACGGCCCCGCAAATCTCAGGGCTCTATGCATGTGCAGAAGATATAGCCAAATGTTGTAAGCTTAAAGTCTGTTCTGGCAGACATAAAAATTGTTATTTTTGGTTTCACTGAGTTGTCGTTTGCATGGAATATCTCATTCACACTTTCCCTTTCAGCCTATGTAGGTCTTTTAAGATAAAGTCTTCTAAGAAGCATAAAGTTGTGCCTTTGTTTTTTACTTCTGTGGACTTAGTTGATATCTTTTGATGGGAGGTTTATGCCACTTACATTTAAAATAATTTCTATAGAGAAGGAATTAGTATTGCTATTTGGTTATTGTTTTCTGGTTGTTTTAATTGACTTTGTGATCCTTTTCTCCCCTATTGCTGTCTTCCTCTGTGATTTGATTATTTCTGATGTTCTCTTTTTCCTTATCCAATGATTATATGTGATAGATTTTTACAGAAAATAATTTCTAGGAATAGCAGTCTTATTTCAACACAGCCTCTTAACTTTGATAGAATACTAAACCTCTACATTTTCACTTTCTTTCATTTTATGTTGCTAATAATACACACTAATTCAACATTTTCAGTGGGTTATTTAATGCTTCCACATATGCACACAAGAGTAGGGCTGGGGATGTAGCTCAGTGGTAGAGTACTTGCCTAGCATACACAAGGCCCTGAGTTCAATCCCCAGTGCCATACAAACATACAGCATACAATAATAAAACTGGATCACATTTTCAAACCCCGTACCCTCATCTTCATACCCTTCACAGTAATTAGTCATCACTACTCTACCTTTAGACTGACTTCAGTTAGCTTACATATATGAAATAGAATGTGCACTATTTTTCTTTTTCATCTAACTTATTTCACTTAACATAATGTCTTCTAGCTCTATTTATTTTGCTGCAAAGAACAGAAATTTATTTTTATTTTTTCCTGGGTAATACTCTGTTGAGTATACAGATCATGTTATATTTATCCATTCATCTGTGAAGGACATCATAACTATTTTCAGTGCTGTTGGAATAAACATTCATTGCCTTTGTATTTAATATAACAATTTACATATTTTATGCTGTATACATTTTACAGAAATATACAAAGACATATGTTAATGTTTTTGTCTTTGACCCCTTATACCAGAGTTAAAAATAACTTACAAAGAACCATAAATTAGAATCAGAATATTATACATTTGAGAATATATTTAACTTTAGCATGAAAATATACACTTGCACAGGTTTTCAAGTTAGTAATTATTGTCTTTTTACTTTAACTTGAATATCTCTTTAGCATTTTCTGTAAGGCAACTTTAGTTAGAAACAAACTCTTACCTTTTGAGTTGATGGGAGCGTTTCTTTTTGTGCTCCGGTGTTTCCTCTGTACCCTTTCCATGTTGTTGTCTCTGCAATTCTTTGCTTCCTTTGCATTTTCATTTCAACCTATTTCCTCTCTCTGGCTCCTGTATTCTTGGTATTCCTGTCTCCGTGGCTGGCTCTTTACCTCCCTCTCTGACCTTCTCTCCTTTCTGAGAGCACCGCCTCCCCCCGCCTACTTCTTCTTTCCTCTCATCATTTTCACTCCTTCCCCACACTGTATTTGACATTGATCATTGTTGTCTGAATCTTTAGCTCCTCTTTTGTCTCACAATTTGGGAAGGACACATGCATGTGTACTAACATATACACATACAAACATGAACACAGATGTTCATACATTGCTTAACCCATCTACAGACATGAGTGAATTAAATATGCACATAAAGAGAAGTTCAAAAACATACATGGACAGAGATCCACACATATAATGATAAATAATATGTGAACAATTTACTCTCTTAGAAAGGTTTTTCATGTAACTTGAACAAAAATAAAGTGAAATGTCCGGATAAGCCAAACAAGAGGGTCATATTGTTATAAAAATACAATTTGCTGTAAGTATATTAAAAATAATAAAATTGCATATACCATGCCTATAAGCTAAATGCTGTACATAACATAAAGAGGGTACGAAAAAATCAGACTTAAGAGGTACTAAGATACTGTGCTGTGTTCTAATTTGTAAGGATCATAGAATTGAGAGGAAGTAACGTTCTGAGTTAAATAAATATTATAAGTAACAGTGAGACAAGAAGTGTATCTTTTATACAAATGACATAAAAAGAATATTTGCAGAAATAACACCAGAAAACTTCCTAGGCATGGAAACAGATTCTGATGTATAGGTAAATGAGCCAGTATAGAGCCCCAACTAGCCATACCCAAAATAAAACCACACCCAGACATATATTAATCGAGATCCCAGATATCCAGCAAAAGAACAGAATCTTAAAAGCTGCTAGAGAAAAGACACAGATCACCTATGAAGGAAAGCCCATCATAATCACGGCAGATTTCTCAACACAAACTATCCAATGAGAAGAGCTTGGAGTGAAGTATTACAGGTCCTGAGACAAAACAGCTTCCAACCAAGATTGATGTATCCTGCCAAACTTTCCTTCAAATTCAATGGAGAAATAAAATATTTCCATGACAAAGAACAACTGAAGAACTTCATGAGTGCCAAACCAGCCTTACAAAGAGTACTAAAAGATGTTTTAGACAGAGAAAAAAGTGACCACAATCTCAAGAACGACAATAGAAAGGAACCCTCAAGCAGAGCACTCAATTAAACAGACAGCAAAAGTAGGAAACCAACAGCTAGTAAATAACATGGCAAACATAAGCCAACATATATCAGTCATAACCATTAATTTAAATGCCCTCAATTCACCAGTCAAAAGAAGCTGACTGGCAGAGTGGATTAAGAAACAAAATCCCACAATATGCTGTATACAGGAAACACACGTTACTCAAAAGCAAATCCATAGACTGAAAGTCAAAGTATAGAAAACAATCCCAGAAAAAATTAGGGGTAGCTATTGTGTTTGCAGACAGCATAAACTTCAAACTGAAAAGAATCAAAAGAGATAAAGAAGGTCACTACATACTAGTTAGGGGAAAACTGCAACAGAAAGAGATAACAATCAAAAACATATGCACCAAATATGAGAGCACCAAACTATATAAGACAAATCTTAACAGACATGAAAAATCAAATAATTAACAACACTATTGTAATAGGGGACCTCAACTCCCCTCTGACACAAAGAGATAGGTCAACGGGAGAGAAAAATCAGCAAGTAAATAGCAGATCTGAACCAAAGCTGTGAACAAATGGACTTAGTAGATGTATACAGAGTATTCCACCCCACAACATCAGAATATACATTTTTCTCATCTGCACATGGGACATTCTCTAAAATAGACCATATTCTAGCCCATAGGGCATACCTACCTAAATGCAAAATAATTGAAATTATCCCATGCATATTATCTGACCACAATGCAATGAAATTGGAAATTAATGACAAAAGAAACTCCAAAAACTCCATAAAAACTTGGAAATTAAATAACA